AGAAGCTGGCGACTGATCTGCCTCGCACGGGAAGAGCGCAATGATGGTGCCAACTTGGGCCAGTGAAGCAACGTCCTCCACAACTAGATTGAAGAACAAAACGACAGCACCTTATCTTTTCCCCTTCCCCCAATTCCCCAGCACTGTTCCCATCCCCCCAATTTCCCAATAAAAAAAATCTTTTAAAAAAGAAAAGAAAAAGGACTCCACAGGTGGTTTTGACGTATTCCACAGATTGGAGAGGCCAGGGCACCGGCTTGCACAGCAAGTCATTGCAGACTGGGACTGGAACTCTGGCTCTTGGCTACCAATGTGGGGCTATCTCCTCCATGTCATCAGGCCCAGCCGGCTGTCAAGGCTAAGGAGCTATATCCATGAGTCACTTACTAACAAGAGGCATCCTGCCTCAAGGGCATGAGTCATAACAGACCCCAGCTGACGATGGTCAACTCCAAAGATATCAACAGGAAATGTTGGGGATGCCTCGTCTGTGCTCCTGCCCGAGACAGGACAGCCTGGGCCCCTTGGGCAGGGGTGCCTGTCTCTTGTTATGAAGCCTGCACATCCTCCAGTTCTTCACACCAGACTTCTGTCTGCTGCTTCGGACCCAAACATACTGTTTGTCTAGCAGTCATCTAGGAGCTGGATCCACAGCCCCGACATGCAGTCAGGAGCTGCAAGGAGCAGGAAACCCATCATCACTTGGAAGAGGTACAGCAAGGGGAGGTGCATGATGGCCTCTGTGCATGCCGATGGGTCAGCCTGGTGTGGTGGGCAGGCAGACAGATGTAGGACAGGAGGACGAGGAGGTAGCCCGCAGGGACGGGGCTGGGGGAAGCGGGTCATTGCAGGCAGAGGGAGCGGCGTGTGTGCAGGCATGTGCAGAAGAGGGAGGCTGGTATGGCCAGCGCCCAGAGTGAAGTGCAGGACCACAGGGGCATGCAGTGGGGCACAGGGAGGCTGCAAGAGGGGAGGGACCAGGTCCTGTGAGGCCCTGATAGGGATGTTTCATTTTATCGTAAGAACAACGGGAAGGGCCAACAAACATATGAAAAGATGCTCAGCATTACTAGTTACTGGAGAAATGCAAATCAAAACCATGAGATACCAACTCACACCCACTGAGATATTTTTTTTTAAAGTATGTGTTGATGAGAAAGGAGAGAAATTGGGACCCTCATGCATTGCTGGTGGGAAAATAAAATGGTGCAGCCACTGTGGAGGACCAATTAATGGTTCCTCAAAAAGTTAAACATAGAGTTCCCAGCAATTCCACTCCTGGGTGCATAACAAAGAGAACTGAAAACAGGTGTTCAAACAATTAAGGCGCATAGCAGCATTAGTCATAGGAGCCAAAAAGGCAAAACAACCCAAAATGCAGTATGTCCAAATAATGGAATATTATTCAGCCTTAAAAAAGAAGGAAGTACAGCTCTGCACATGTGCACTGATAGGTGCTACTGTGTGGGTGAACCTCAAAGATTTATGCTAAGTGAGAAGAGCCAGACAAAGGGCCATATCCTGTATGATTCCATTTAGATGAAATGTCTAGAAGAGGCAAATCCACAGAGAGAGAAAGCAGATCAGTGGTTGCCAGGGACTGGGGGGGGGATGGGGAGTGGCTGGTTGATGATATGGAGTTTCTTATTGGGGTGATGAAATGTTCTGGAATGAGACAGTGCTGCTTGTTGCATAACTTCATTCATGTAAGTAATGCCACTAAATTATATACTTAAAAATGTTAACTGGCAAATTTCATCACACACACACACACACACACACCACCACCACCACCACCACCACCACCACCACCAATTTAAAAAGCAGCAGGGAGAGCCCTGGGAAGGCCAGTCAAGGGCTGGAAGCAGGCTCCCTGCCAGTTCTGAGCTGTTCTGCCCCTCTCTCTATGTTCCAAGGCTTCTGGGCTCTGGGAGCCTACTTGTCTGTACCGTGGGCTTGGCCGTGTTTGGCCCTGCTGCTGGGCTTCGATGGGACAGTATGTGGGAAGCCCTGGCTCAAAGGGCATGTGTAGCCCGTGCCAGCTCCTTTCCCTGGGAGGGGCGTCGCACAGGGAAAGAGCAGCTTGGAGGGGTGGAGTGATCTGCTCATGGCCATGCAGCTAAGAAATGACTAAGCTGGGACTCGCTAGAATCACCCTGCCTGGCTCCTTCAACCCTTGGAGCCGCCATTGCCTTGTGCATAAAATGCGGCTGCTAACAACAGTCTTGCCTTCCTCCTAGTCCCTCTGAACCTCCAGGCCCACCAGACTGAGCCACTGGCCCCTGGGGCCTGTCTGCCCTGGAGTCAGGAAGCAGTTTTCTTGGAGGACCCTTGGGGAAGGTGGGAAGGAGTCTGAATCCTACAACTTCCAAGAGCCTTCCAGATGGGTCATCGAAACTCAGTTCAACCGCAGGAAACATACAAAATATGTTCTTATTTCATGGGCCCTGTTGTTGGCTGAAGATGAAAATCACTTGAAAAAGCAGGCTCTTTTCCTGAAAAGGGTTAAGGAAGATGTTAACTTTTACATCGGGTTCTGTGCTGTTGTTCCAAGCTTATGAAACTATCCATAGAAGATAGTTTTAGAAGGGCAAGTTATGAGAACATAGGAACACCCTGAGGATCTCGCCCTCAGGCCCTCTCCCCCACTGCTGAGTCCTTTCTGTTCTATGTCCTTCACTCCCCCTGACTCCCGCACTCCCTGCCAGCCTGGTGCCTCAACTTCTGCTCTCTAAAATGGGTTTCCTGGAAAGATGAAAGGATCGAGGTTTAGCCCGATGGTCAACTTGTAATAAAGTGCTCCGTAAGGCTAGCTCTAATGACAAGAATGTTCAATAATAAAGAAGCATTGTTGCTTTTTCTCATGGACCTTGTTCTTTCTCACATAATTGACCATCTAGATCGTAAGACTTTATCTTTTTCCGCGGGACTCAATAGACTTATTTTTACTGACTGAGGTGAATAGCAGTCAGTCCACGCTATTCGTGGTGCTGACTCAGCTATTCCAGGAAGAAGGTTGCTCCTTCTTGGCCTGGACACACTCCAAGCCAGTCCCGGGGCTGGCACGAGTCTCAGGGCTGTGGGCAAGTGAGCCCCAGTCCCCCTTTGGGTTGACTTCTCCATTAGGTCCAGTAGGCACTAGGGCCATGGCACTTTTATGGGCTCATGAAAGTATTTTAATTTATTTTCAGGTCGGAAGACAAAATGAATTTTTAAAAGGAAGAAAATATTTTAATATATCTTATTCATATGAATGAATATACATTAATATGAATTAATATAGCCATCTTTATACCAATACAATCATAACATATACTTGTTATTTACTTTTCTTTTTATTGAGGAAGGGGTCCCCAAAGGCAACGATGCCCAGGATCCACAGACATCAGAATGCAGCTCTGGGTCTTTCCCGCTGGGCTTGTCATTTCCAATTCTGATCATGAACGCCAAGTCCCGAACGGAGCCAGGATGGTGAATTTTTCCATTTTCCACAGAAACAGGCTGAGGTTTTGAAAGAAGTAACTTGGCTGATATCACCCAGAACTTTTCTGTCAGACAGAGGTGGTTGGATGGATGGATATATAGGTAGATGGTAGATAGATAGATAGATAGATAGATAGATAGATAGATAGATAGATAGATAGCTTTTTAGGAACTGGTTCACACAATTGTAGGGCCTGGCAAGTCCCAAATCTGCAGGGCAGGCCAGCAGGATGGAAAGTCAGGCAGAGGTTGATGCTGCAGTCTGGAGACAGTCTTCTTTGGGAAACCTCAGTGTTTGCCCTGTAGGGCTTCAACTGATTAGACAAGGCCCACCACATTATCAAGGGTTAGCAGGCTTCTAAAAGTCAACGGATTGTAGATGTTAACCACAACTACAAAATGCCTTCACAGCAACACTCAGGTTAGTATTTGATTGAATAACTGGGGACTCGATTCTGGCCATCACATCACCCCTGCCACATTTGCTGAGGGAAGGCCTTGCTGGCTTATTTGACCACTTGAATCCTCTGTCATTTTTCTCCTGCCTCCCCAAGCGGGAAGTCCCAAGTCAGGCTCTCAACTAGAAAAGACTTTGAACCGAAGTCCAGTGTCTGGCCCTTTGGCTGGGTCAGTGTGACGCACTGTCCCCCAGGCTCCTCAGACCAGCTTATGGCCCCTTGCTGCCGGTACCTGCCTTGCCACAGCAGTTGTAAATAATAGGCAAAAGTGAGTGCTGTCACTGCCTTCCCTGTGGAGTCCTGGCTCCCTAGACTATGCAGTCCTAGGTGCTGTGGCAGAGAGGAGCCACCAGGAGGATTCCGCTTTAGGGCCTTGGGTTCCTCCCTGCTGGGGGAGGGTGTGATGTCTTGGCCTTCCCAGCAGGGGGAAACACAGCCCCTCCAGGGGTCCACACGCAGAGGAAGCCACTTGGAGGAAGACAATCATCACAAGCCTCTAAAACCCCCATGGGGTCCTGGGGCTTAGGGGCTAGCTGGATGAACTGGAAGCATCTAGAACTATTCAAACTGCTACCTGTGACAGATGGAAGGTTGTCCTAAAATCAAGTTAGCAAGTCTCGTGCATACAGAGGGTGTCAAAAAAATGTAGACACGTTTTAAGAAAGGAAAAAACTATTAAAATTCTAATACTCACTATATACCGACAACAAAAGACGAATACAAGTCACGTTTGACATCTGCAATGACAGGAGGGGCTCAAAGTGGTTCCCATCAGCGTCCAGACACTTCTGATGACGGCGAACTACTGCTTCAGCAACGGTGACCAGTGTCCACTTGTATACATTTTTTGGCACCCCCAGTATATTTGGAAACATGAAACTGAATAAGAAGTAGATACTAGAAAATATCTCAGTGCATTGTCTTAGTCCATTTGGGCTGTTATAACAAAAATACCATAGACTGGGCAGCTTAAACAACAGACATTTATGTCCCACGGTTCTGGAGTCTGGGAAGTCCAAGATAAAGACACCAACAGATTTGGGTCTGGTGAGGTTCACAGGTGCCCATTTTCTAGCTGTGTCCTCACATGACGAAGCAATGTGGGAGCTCTGTGGGGCCCATTTATATAATAGAAGGGCACTAAGCCCATTCATGAGGGCCCCACCTTTATGACCTCATCACCTCCCAAAGGCCCCACCTCCTCATAGCATCACTTTGGGGACACACATATTTAGTTTATAACATTCTGCCCCTGGCCCCGCACAATCCACTTCCCTCTCACGTGCTTTTAAGATGCCTCAATATTCACTGTCATACTTTACTTTTCGTATGAATGCGCCACTCTGTTTACCCATTTTACTGCAATGGACAGCTGGGTGGTTTCAAGGCTCTGTACAGCGTGAATTTCATTGTCCATGTCTCCTGATGCACGTGTGTACTCACTCCCCTAGTATATACAACTAGGAGTGGAATTGCTGGGTCATCGGGTGTGGCTGTCTTCAACTTTACTAGATAATACAAACTTTCCCAAGGCGCCTATCCCATTGCACACCCCCAAAGCAGTGTATGAGTGAGTGTTCCAGGGCCTCATATCCTCACCGACACTTGTGCACTTTAGCCCTTCTGGTGGGTAAGTAGCGCATCTCTTTGAGGCTTTCATGTGCATTTTCCTCATTACTAGAAATCAAACTGCATTTCACACATTTATTAGCCATTTGGATTTCCTGGCTTGTCAATTACCTATTAAGTCTTTTGCCAATTTTTCTATTT